GCTGGAGCAGAGGAAAGGGGATTCTTTTTGCCATGGAATGTATCTTGCTTATGTATTTATTTGGGATGAATCCTCCTTGTAGCCTTAGAGTTTTTCCTCCTCCGAGGTAATAGGGTGGCTCTCCATGGGTCCATTTGTTGCCATAGTGATGTGCCCCATCTTCCTGTTGGTTCTTCTCCACTTCAGTAAGTCCTTTCCTGTTATCACCCTGGTAAACATGCTTGGAGCTTCTTCAGAGCTAGTAACTGGTACCCATCATCCTGTCATCTGATCGTGATTGCGGGGTTTGCGAGTGAGTGTGGAGTCTGAGTTGTGCAGCTGCCCTAAGGGAACTGTGAAGAATAAGCCCTGAGTCAGCAGCAGGAGTGCAGGAGAGACTTCCACCTATCCCTCCTCCCAAACTTGGGGTGCTGGGATGCAGAAGAGACCCCAAGCAGCTGTGCCTTGCTTGGACATTAGTGTAAGGACCCAACAGTCAGCCTTTGTTTCAAAACAGAATTTGGAGTATCCTACTAGCTCAGAATGATATTTTTAAAGATAACCCACTTGACTAAAATTGCCCTGTGTTGGCTTTACTGTGTTTTTCCTCCCCCAGGAGTATGATGGAGAAGTGTTTTTTGGAGCTACTTGAGTTTAATATTCATGTGTCTGCCAGTGTTTATGCGAAATATTACTTTGACCTGCGTGCCTTGGCATACGACCATAATCTGTGTTTTCATTTTAGTTTTCTTCACAAACATAAAGCACAGAGACTGAAGGTAAGGCTGTGAAGTCACTTGGTGGAGTTTCCCATCGGACATAAAAGCCAATATCTGTGATAAAATCATATTAAGTAGTGATTAGGAAAATGAAAGCCTTAAAATTAACAGACCAAAGTTCTTATTTCTTTGGCATCCTATTTCCTGTCCTTTTTGCTTTATACAGGAATTATTATTATTATTATTTTATGAGAAGGAGTTTTGCTCTTGTTGCCCAGGCTGGAGTGCAATGGTGCGATCTCAGCTTATTGCAACCTCCGCATCCTGGGTCCAAGCGATTCCCCTACCTCTGCCTCCCGAGTAGCTGGGATTATGTGCATGCACCACCATGCCCGCATATTTTGTATTCTTACTAGAGACAGGATTTCTCCATGTTGGTCAGGCTGGTCTCGAACTCCTGACCTCAGGTGATCTGCCTGCCTTGGCCTCCCAAAGTGCTGGGATTACAGGGATGAGCCATTGCACCTGGCCAAGGATCTATATATTTTAAAAATTATTGATATTCTCACTGCTTTGACCATAATTCAGAATATTTTTAAATTTAACCTGTTCTTAATGGGTTTTGTTTTTAATTTCTACCTGTTCACATAACATTCGTGAATAAATGCGGATGTATTCCTAATTATATGTAAATAGACAATGCACTGACTGCTCTTGACTGTCTTTTACTTAAGCAGTTTGCAATTTTGTGTCCTTGTCTATTCTATATATCTCGGTGCAGTCCCAGGAGTTTATCAGACAAAGCAGTAGTGGCTGAGAGACCTGAGCTTAGACTGTATAAGGTGCCAGTGTTTCAAGTACTAGGTGTAGGAAGGACATGGGTTTTTAGTGAAAAGGGCTTCATGGGACAATGTAAGATTTATGGCTTATGACTCTTGGTGAGTATACAGGAAAATTCCAACTGAAATAGACACATTTAAAATTGGCACTGTCTCTGGCGTCTTGGTGATACTTTGCAATAATACATTTATCTGCCACAATGTGCAAGTAAAGTAGCACCTTTTGGTGCTTGAATCATTAGGCTTCTTGGATGTTCCAAAACAGCCCAGCACGCACCTGCCTCATTAAAATCTGCTTGGAGTGTGTAGTAACTACTAAGGACTGGGTAGAATTTGAACCGCTGAGTAAGTTGATTGTTTGGCACAAGTGTATGTTGATTACGTTGAAGGAACAAGTGCACAGGTAACAGATAGTATTGTTACAAGCTTGTCACAATACTCTTAAAATCTTTAGGAGCCCTATTTTATTTTGTATGTGACAGGAGGGCCATCATCAAGCAATGAGCCCAATTTTAAAATTATAAAGTAAGTTCCTCTTGGCTGTAGCAGTCTTTTCATAGCTCTTAAAGGAGACTCCCTTAGTGAATGGGCCAGGAGTTGCATCCTCAGAACCTGTCAGTATAAATCTCAGCCAAAGCAGCTGCAAGGGAACCCTCTAAAGGAAGCTGTATGTGTGGCTTCTCATCAATTATGCCTTGTAAAAAATGTTGGAACCTTTTTACAAATTGTACCCGTTTTCTCTTTGATTGACTTTTCTAGGCTATGTCACGGCTGTGTGAATACAAAGACTTGCATCTAGGTGTCGCCGCTATGAGAAGGGCCGTCAGCATGGATTTCATCGGTGCTCGGCATACTAATGCCATGTTATCTTAAAGAGAGAAATCAGCACTATAAGATAGACTACAAAATATCACTTCTGCTGAAAAAGTCCAGCAAAATTAGGATTTTCTTTTTTTATGTTTTTTAAAAAATGTTTATTGTTGTTATTGTTGTTGCTGTTGTTGTTGTTGATTAGGATTTTCATAGAGCAGAGGCTTCTTCAAATAACCACACTGTGAAGCTGGGTGACGGCGGCATGAACGGTGGTGCCAGGTGCTACCTGCCCTTCTTGTTCCACTGAGTCCAGATGGCATTCCTAGGGCACCACCTTCTTGAACAACTCTTGGGGAGGAAGACTGTCACATGGACACAGCACATCCCAGTTCAGAGTCCTCAGTCACCCACAGTCCCAAGCAGGTGACAGTCTGAGCTGAGCCGGAATTCAAAAAACTTTAGAATTGGCTCCAGATTTGTGAGAGTACCTGGGTTTGGATCTCTGTCCACGGAGGCACTGAATGCACAGTGGCCCGAAACAAGAGTGGGAAGAGAGAATGGCATGGGGACAAGGCTGCCATCACTCCAAGTACCACTGGGGCTCAGTCCTGTTCATCTAGTCTTTGGAGGGAATCTGTGCACGTGAAATGAGGCTCCCACATCATGGTTATAAACAGAGAGATGAAATCAGCTCATCTTCCCCCAGGCTCATAATGGTCTTGCCAAAACACAGAGTCTTGCTGTGTTACCAGGCTGGAGCACAGTGGCAGGGTCTCCAGCTCTCTGCAACCTCTGCCTCCTGGGTTCAAGTGACTCTCCTGCCTCAGCTTCCCAAGTAGCTGGGACTACAGGCATGAACCACCAACCCAGCTAATTTATATATTCTTAGTAGAGACAGGGCTTCATCATGGTGGCCAGGATAGTCTTGATCTCTTGACCTCATGATCTGCCTGCCTCAGCCTCCCAAAGTGCTGGGATTACAGGTGAGAGCCACCGTGTCCGGCCTCTTGCATTTACGTTCGCAATAAAGTGGTTTGGAATATCCCACTGTTGATTTGTGATTTCCTCCTCCGAACATAGTCTGTGGCCCTGTATACATAATTGAATATTTTCATATATTGATATTTTGTGTCTGAAGATGAAAGATGAAACATGTTAAAACATTTCATGCAAAGCCTTCAGTGGTTGTAGAGTCTACTCTTTGGTGAATACACAAATTAATCTATTTTAAATATTAAAATTTTTATTAGATGTGATGATATTTTCTCTTTTATCTTCACTTGTCAGATATAGTTACTTACGTTCTTCCATAATTAATGATATTGTATCTTATATTGGATGTAAAAAAACTCCTAGAATATTTGGAATTGATAGTTGAAATTAAACAGCAAAATGAGAATTGCTGAAACCTAGTGATAATGTACTTATGATGGGTTTATTATCTATTATCTCTATCATTGTTAATTTTTAAAGTTTCCATGGAAAACTATACTAAGAACTTAAAATTGTCTATAAAGCCCTTCGTGCCCTGCACTTTAGCTCCAATGCATAATGAATAAAGGAAAATGGATTCTCCTGCGGGAATTCTGCTGGACTCTTCTTTTCCATTTAACCTAGGGGGAGCGTCTTGAGGTCACATGGGGTGAGGCGACCACGAGTGGGGTCCCTAGAGCTGCCGCTGGGAGGAGTGTGTATGTGGAGATGGGTTTCGTGGCCACGTTTCTTCCTCGGGTCTTTCTGGTTGTGATGGTGGCTTTGACAATGATTTCTGAGCATCCTCTCCAGGGGAGTCCTCCGCCTGTGGTGTCTCCCTTGGGGGAAGGCCCGAGGATATCTGGAGAGGGATTCATAGGGTTGCCCCTGTGTGACAGAGGTGCCTTGTGTGGGGTCTCCAGAAAGCACCGTTTTAGGGGCGGTGAAGCCTCATCTCCCCTGCAGGGTGGGCGGGATGTCTGAGGGAGTGCTGGAGGGAAGCCCTGTGTGTCGGGGTCGCTGTGTAGTCTGAGTAAAGCCCCAGACCTGGGGAAGTCATGATGGAGACTCAGAGGTGCTTGGGGCAGGGAAGGGGGCGGCCTAGGCAGTCACCAAGGTGTGACAGGATCACTGATGCCAGGAGGCAGTTTTGGGAGGGGTCTTTGGAGGGGAATAATTGTGGAGTCCCCAAGGGTGGGGAAAGTGTGAGGGTGCTCCAAGGCTGGAGGTCAATGCGGGGTGGGTGGGAATAACCTATAGGAGCTCTCAGGGGAATAATGGCCCCCCCCAGGGGTCAGGGGTGGAAGGGAGGGGCCTCGGCAGGTCCTGTGTTGCAGGGCCCTTCTGTAGGGCATCTGAGAGCTGGAACCCTGGGGCTCCTGAGGTTGCCGGTCCCCAGGGTGGGGTGTTTTCCAGGGTCAGACCTTCCTGGGTCCTGGAGCAAGGAAATGAAACTGGCTTCTTCCTGCCCACTGTCTGGTTGGCGCTTGGCAAACTCCCTTTGGGGAGTTCTGGGGCTCCTGGGTGGGGAAGCTCCTTGAGCCCTGGGGGACAGATGGGTCACCCCTCGAAAGCTGGCAGCAGGAACAGATGGAGCTATGCACCTCTTCATCCTTTTATTGTCGAAGTGAAATTGGGTTTTCTTGGCGATGTGCAGGTCTGAGCATGGGCCTGGCGCTTCCCCTGTTCCTTCTCTGCCAGACTCAGTATTCATTTCAGATCTGACCCCCTGGGCTGGCGCTGAGGGGACCGCGGCCTGGTGCAGGGCGACATCCAGGCTCCAGGGACTGTCAGGAGCCATCTGCACCCTGCAAGCACCAGGTCCCCCCCAAGCTCCTGCGCTGCCCAAGGAGGGCGCCTGGCACCAAACGCAGACCCACAGCCTGAGCTCCTGAGATTCTTTTTATTTTTAACACAGTCTTGTTCCGAACCCAGCCACGCCAGGTAGGGATACAAACAGAAGTAATGCGAAGGGCTGGGAAAAAAAAAGAAAAGAAAAAAAGGCAAATTATTGAATGTGGTAGTCATGAAATACGGGGTTTTGTATTGGATTTCATTGTTACTTTGGGTTTAGAATGAGTGACTGAAGGTAGTTTTAGGACTGAGATAGACAACTGTAAAGCTCCAGGCAACTGGGACCAGGAGGGTCTTGCTGACCTTCCTGTGACATGGCTCTTCTGAGCTGTGTTTGATAAGGGATATACCCAATCCTATGAGTACAGCTTCACATTCCTAACAATCTGTGAGTCACAGCGGTCTTCAATAAATTAAAATCATTTCCTTTGCTTTTCTGACCTGGTTAAACGAATCACATGGTTCCTGCCCATTAATACTCCTACCTCAGTAACCAAATATGTGCCTGCTAGCTTGCTGCCTCCCTTTATTATGCTTTGAAGTGGACAAGAAATATATTTCATTTTTACAGTCTGTGACTTGGGTTTCTGAAAGTCCATATCTGTGATTTAAAATAGACAAATGAGTTATCATTGTTATTTTTAATAATTTAAATTTGTATACTTAGATGCCAAAAACATCTCCACAATTTTTCATTTGATACTTATTAGAATTATATGATCTAGATGGAAAGGTCTCAGGTGCTAGGGGGAGAGGAACTCAGCCCAGGGGCCAGAAGACATGGTCTGTTACTCTTCAATCAACTGTTGGAATGTGGGGCAGGACATAAGTTTTTTAAGCTTCCTTATGAGCAAAGCAAGAGAGTTGACCAAATGACCCCTAAAATCATTCCTGGAGCTGAAGTTCCACAAAAATAGGAGATCTACTAGTTTACAAAGGAGGGATCTGAGGCCTAACGGGGTTGATTGCATTGCCTGAGGTCAACACAAAGCCAGATTTCAAGTGTCCTGACCTTTGGTCCATTTTTAAAAAATTAATCCAACTAATACAACTCTATTACTATATAAGGATCCAGCAAACAAGGGAATTAAGGCTTGAAGAACAATTTATTTCTATATTACATGACTATCTGGCGGTAAAGGTAGGAACAGAACTATTTTGCTTTTCAGTTCACAGATGTTGCCTCTAATGAATAAAGGTCAGCATTGACTTGAGAGAAAAAAGTTAATAAGTAGGATAGATGTAAGAGCACAACTGATAGGGAATGACCAATAAAGTATTTAGGAAAACAAGTGGAAAGAATTTTAGTCTAATTGGCTAGTGGTCACAGAACTAGTGAATAGAGGAGACGGATTAAATAAGATCAATCTCATTAAACAGCATAGATACTAAACTGAGGTAACTTTTAATTTAATATAAACTCTCCTTTAATCCAGTTTCTCATTATAAGCATGCTTGTGAACTTGTTCAGTTGGTAGAAATATTATGGGTAGAGATAAGACTAAAATCAATATAATCCCTCAATTTTGTTTCAGTGTCTGGCGGAGTCTTCAGATAGATGATACACTGCTTCACAACATTATATTCATTACATAAATGGCTTTCAAATGATTTATTCTTGGCTCCATCCTCTTACCTGAAAGGCATTTAGATATTTAAATGATACAACTGCTACTTCCAGTTTGTTTCTCTTTTTTAAGATTTGTGTTGTTTCTCTAAAGAAAGCATTGTAAGTTTGAATAATAATTAATTCTAGTAGTTCTGGGCATAGCTTAGGATTTCCTCTATCTCCAGACTCTTCCTACAACTCATTTTCTAACATTTTTGGTGGCTGAAGGAAAAGACAGTTTATGCTTTGAAAGGAATAAGAGAAAGGTAAAAAAAGAGAAGCAGTAATTATTGCATACATTACCTATCAGGCAATAAAGTGTGTTTATATACATTTCTAATTTAATCATCAGGATATCCCAAAGAGCTTGCCGCTATTTTTTCGACTTCACAGATGAGGAAAGGTGAATTAAGAGGTCAAATTACACAGTCACAAGGTCACATACTTTATAAGTGACTTGGGAGTCCAGAATTAAGATTTATATCTTCCTTTAATTCTCATCCCATTATATTTGGAACATCTAAAAGGCTTTGGAATAAAAGGCA